ATCAGTTGGTCTAACCTGACTCACCTAAAAGGCACTTAACCCTTTGCATCTTCAGTCAGTCCATACCGACTTGGCCATCAGGCCAGACGTTTCAATAAGATTCACATTTAGTCGGTATAGCCTGACTTAGCATAAGGGCAATCAACCCTTCCCCTCCTATCGACTCATCTTAACTTGAATTTATTACTTAGATTCAATTCAAAAAATACAAACATCAACAATCATAAACGCCCCAAGGGTAGCAAGGGTCAAACCCTTCACGCATCTACTATCAACCATTCCATTCATTCCAAGAAACAAAAGTATGAAATATCAACACTAAATGAAGAAAATGGAATACATCAACATCCATACAAAAGCCTCGAAGGGCTAAGTCAAAACACAAGTCATAAAGGCATCAGGTGCCTCAAAAGTACAAAACATTCAACTCAAATATAAACTAAGTACAAAAGCCAAAATACATCAAGGAGCAGCATGCTCTGAATCATCGCCCAAAGTTGACTTCTCCCTAGTCGACTCATCCTAAATAATAGGAGCATCCCTCAGAAGCACCTCCCCAACCAACTCACTTCGATTAGCATCATCCCATAGAATCCTCTATTCTAGTTGCTAGGTTAAATCCACCAGTTGGTCCTTAAGATCCTACTTGGTTTGAACTCCTCCAATGCCTCAGCCTCAATCTCTCTCTAGAGCTCAATGTCTTTGTCCGGCTACAAATGAGAGGTGTTCTCGACCTCGAAGTCCATTATCCACTTTGCGCAAGCCTTTATAATCACATCCCTAGTGATTGACAAACATCGCTCCCTAAGAGATGCACACACCTCCCTAAGAGATGCAAACTTCTCCTCTCGCTCGGCCAGCTTCTTCTTCGCCTCTTCCAACTCAACCTTTGCTCCCCGCAACTTGGAGGTGCTCTCCTTTGCCAACTTATGGGCTACAGACTATAGCAGATAGAGATTCGTGTTGGACTTGATGAGCTCCTGAGTTCACACCTCTTGGTCCCCCGCAACCTTCCTCACAAATAAACTCCTGCATAAAGCCTACACATGAACACTCGGTTAGTCAAATCTACAACTTAGCCTAGTCATAAGACATAAAAATAAAATTGTACTTGAAGTATCCATGAGACTTCGCAGTCGACCATGACATACACTCCTATCTAAATTAGTCGACTCTCATCTGTTGGGAAAAGGTGGGAGTTGGCTAGATTCCCCATCCTGGCTGCATCGGAATAGAGAGAGGGCATGGTTAGAAGGGTGATGATCAGCTTGTCACTTTCTTCATCAATTTGGACCGTCTAAGACGATTTGGCCCCAACCGAGGTCTGCCTAGTTGGTTGAGTTAAGGTAGTCTCCTCCACTCGAACACTTTCATTTGGCACCGCCTCTCTTTTTCTCTTGGCTCAACACCAGGCAAGTGCTTCAATTGTACTTGGTATAGTGATCCCACTCTTCATTAACCTCTTTGTAATGGTAAACTCTTTGAGTGTTAAAGGATGAAGAAAATAGTGTCCAAAAAGCAAGTGATTGCAGTAGCAAATCAACAGCACCTGCCACACTCGCTCCAATGGGGGAAATAGGATACCTCTCTAGTTGGCCTCAACCCTAACCCACAAATGACTCCCCCTTAGATTCAACTCTTCCAACACCACCCTCCAATCTCACTTTTCCTTAGGTATGGCAAGAACCTCATTTATTGTCACGTCCAACCCATCTCAACTCTGCCCGCCTTGGTTGAAATTAAGATCTGTAAAAGACATGGAAAATAAGACTTAGTCATCAAACCACAAAGACAAGTAATGAGTTACTCACTCGTGGCTCTCCAAGTCGATGGTATGTTGCCTTGCCCTCTCACACCACAAATCCTCTTGCCATCTAGGAAAAAGAAGTACTCCTTCCATTTCTTATCACTTGAATTGAGAATGTCACCAGGTGAATTCGATCATGTCTTAGGGTGATTGCATACCTCCCCTTGTCCTTGTTATGCTCTTTTAAATAGTAGGAGTAGAGGCATTTGTGTAGCCCAAACACTCGGTTCTTAACACACAAGCTCCAGGGTTCTCAACAATCTCCACACATTCGGCATGAGCTAAGGCAGTGCAATCATGAAGTGGTTTAGCACCTCTCAGACTAGTCAGGGAATAGGCAGCCTCAACCCATCATAAAAGAACATCTCGTACATGCTCACCTAGTTTGGTACGTCTCTGTTGACCCTCTCATAACTCTTAGGAATCCTAATCTTCACCCAGTCAGGATGTGGTACGCCACCCTTATTTTCCACTCATTATCTTGTTTGAGGAAAGGAGGATAGTTAATGGTTAGGATGCCACCACCTAGTTGGCTAGGCTCGGCTCATCTCCTGAACCTCCACTTGCCAAAGGATCATCTCCTAAACCTCCACTTTGTAGGTTGTTAGTGGAGTTTGCATAGCGAAAAACAAAAATAAAATCCCCAACAACAACATTGGACCCAAGAACCTTATACCCGACTTACGTTATTTACATATGAAATAATATTGAATATAAAATTTCCAAATTTCATACTAGCATTTGGAGGCTCTTTCAATCGATATAAATCGCTTACATTCTAAGATAAGAATGAACTCTCGGTATCCACACAAAGATAAGATGTCAATCACCAAGTGGTTTGATGTCCTAGCTAAACTCGCAAGGATCAAGGATGGGAATGCCACGAAATTTGAAAAATTCTCTTCTCCACTTAGAGAGAAAAAGCGAGAGAGATTGAGGTGAGTGGCTTGGATTTAATTTAGGTAGGTAACCCCTCGATCGACGTCTCTTTCCTTCCATGAGCTTATTAGAGAGAGGTCGATAGGATGAAGACCAAAGCTCAGGGAATGGACTACATATACTTGGATGATTCCAAGGATAAGGGTAAGGGCAAAAAAGAGGTCGAGGAAGTTGAGGAGGAGATTGGCCTCAAGCAAGAAGTCGAGGATTCGGCTCCTCTGGCTACACTTCCCCTAAAAGTTGTTGATCTTTCTCCAAGCGAGGCTCCCAACCTTGAAGAGGCCACTACCATTCCTTCCGTCAAGGAACCGTCTCTTCCAGTCGATGGTGAGCACCCTGGTCTGGTCGAAGATGATGTCCTTGCTCCTCCACTTGCCTGAAGATCATTATATCTTCTTTTTTTTTTTTTTTTGGTTAAATTTGTAATCTAACTCGTTAATGAAAAGAAGATATTTTAATATATCCTCATCGAGTAATTCTTTTTATAATCCTGCAGAGTCATTTCAATCGTCCTAACTGGACTTATCATAAAAAAATTCGAATTTGCTCCAAGCTATGTATGGCTTGATTCTTGAGGATCTTTTTCGAATATATGCAAGAAAATCTTATACGATAATTCAACTTTGGATCCATTGTCCATTTCAGGTTTTGGTCCCCGACTTAGGGCCGATTTCCTTTGACGTGTTTTTCTTAAACTTTTCCAAGTTTAACTTTATCGATTTGGGATATTTCACCTCTATAGAGTTGGATTTTGGTGTGGCTTATTGAGATAAGCTGCCTTTTTCTAGACTCTTGACTTTGAGTTTTTAGATGTTATTATGTAGGCCGCGATTTTTGAAGCAATGAACGATAGACGCTAAACAAGTAAATAAGAATGGTGAACAAAGTAAAATAATGAATAATACCTCTTTTATTGATAAGACATTTTGGCCATAATTGGGCTAACAATGAATGATTAAATAAGACATGGGAGGAACCCGAGCTGTTTATTGGTAATACCTTCACAAATGCTCGGCATTCCAGGCTCATAGTATTGCTTCTCCATTGAGGCATTCCAGGTGGAAACTTCTTGGTGCAAGCTTTGTAGAGATCCTAAATGGACCTTCCTATTTGTGCCCAAGTGCCCCTAAGTTCAGGTTTTGAGTACCTTGGACTACCTTTCTGAGAACTAGATCGCCCACTTCAAAGTCTCTATTTCTGACTTTGATGTTGAAATACCGTCTAGCTCGCTATTGATACGATGCAAGCATTAACTGAGACTTGGCCTGATGTTCTTCGATTAGATCTAGCATCAAGCAAAGAAGATCTTTATTGGCTTCTTCATTGAAAATTCCTTTTGGAACGAACTGGTCCCTACTTCAACCGGGGCCATTGCTTCAGACCCATATGAGAAAGAGAACAAGGTTTCTCCTGTAGAGCTCCTGGTTATTGTTTTGTAAGACCACAAGGCCTCGAGTAATTCTTCGACCCATCTTCCTTTCAGGGCATCGAGCTTCTTTTTAATGGTGTGCTTGATGACTTTGTTTACAACCTCTACTTGACCATTGGCTTGAGGCCGGCAACCAACAACAAAGTTCTTCTTAATACCAATTTGTTCACAAAAAGATCTAAAGTCTTCACTGTCAAACTATTTCCCATTGTTGATTATTATAGTGTGAGGGATTTTGAACCTATAAATGATGTTTTTGTAAACAAAATCTTTTAGCTTGTTCGATGTGATGGTAACTAAAGGCTTAGCTTCTACCCACTTGGTGAAGTAGTCAACAACAACCACTGCAAACTTAACACCCCCTTTTTCTTGAGGCAAAAGGTTGATCAGATTGATGCCCTAAATTGTAAATGGTCAGGGGCTTGTCAGTGTAGTTAATTCTTAAGGTAGAGCTCGTAAAGTATCTACAAATCTCTGGCATCTATCGCATCTACACATATAGTCTGCTACGTCATCAAAAACTGTTGGCCAATAATAACCTTGACAAAGCACTTTGAATGCTAGAGATCTACGTCCTGCATGGTTCCCACAAATCCCCTCATGGATCTCCCTCAGAACATAATTTGCATCCTCATGGTCGATACATCGCAATAGCAATACATTGAACCCACACTTATACAACTTATCATTAATGAGCGTGTACTGAGCTGACTTTGCATGGAGTGTTCTAGCTTCAATTCTTCCTTCTGGCAGTGTACTATCCCTTAGGTAGGTGATGATTGCATCTATCCAACTGTATCTTTGACTCGTTGTTAAGACTAGTTCTTATGGAGCAAAAATGCTTGGTCTTGGGAGGAACTTAACTGGTATGGAATCAACCTTCTCTTGGTTCATTGCAAAGGCCAGGCGGGCTAAAGCATTAGCTACCGAGTTCTTCTCCCTTGGGATCTGATGAACAATGAAGGATCTAAATTACTCGAGCATGAATTTCACCAACTAGAGGAAAGATGCCATCCTATCTTCCTTTGCCTGGTACTCCCTAGTAATCTAGTGGACTACAAGTTGGGAATCACTATAAATTTTGATGGACTCGACCCCTATTTCCTTGGTGAGGTGGATCCCTATGAGCAACGCCTCATACTCAGCCCCGTTGTTGGAGGCGGCAAACCCGAAACTTATTACGGCTCTTATCGAGTTTCCTTCGGGACTTTCAAGTAAGAGCCCTCCTCCTACCCCTTTCTCGTTTGAAGAACCATCCACATACAAAGTCCACTGCCATAGGTCATCAAGCTTTGGCTTTTGCTCCTCAATTTCGTTTAAGGTATTTGGCCATGGCGGGTTTAGTTCCCCTTCTGGTTGATAGGAGAATTCTGATATAAAATCTGCCAAAGTCTGACCTTTAATTGTCATTCTTAAGATGTATTTTATACCATGCTGACTCATTTTCATTGTCCACTAAATCAATCTACCCGATGCCTTGGGCTTTTGCATTATTTTCCTTAATGGAAAGTTGGTCAACACGTAGATGAAGTGTGCTTGGAAGTAAGGTCACAGCTTCCTGGCGACGATGACAAGGGCATAGGTGAGCTTCTCTATTTTGGGTTATCTCGACTTCACGTCAAGTAGCCTCTTGCTCACATAGTATACCAGCCACTATACTCCTTCCTCTTCGTATACCAATGTGGCACTGATAGTAGACTTTGATAGTGACAAATACAATAGCAGTGGCTCGCCTTAGATGAGCTTTGACAGCAAAGGAGGTTATCTTGTTAGTGTATGCCCTAGGAACCAATCGTGTTGTCGGTTTCAGGACATTATATCTTGTAAATGTATTATGAATAAAAGAAAGTGTTCTTATTTCACATGTTGATTTTCTACTTCATTTATATTATATTATATTTAATATTGCATGTGAAATGTCTGGATGGCACGGATCTTCAGAAGATCAAATCATCAAAGAATTCCCTATGCAAGTAATGTTAATTGGGCAATAACATTACATAGTAGGCATATTCAATGTCTCCATTGAATATCATGTGATGGTATTAGTGTGGGTGATTATAAGAGGTATGTCACTAAGGCAAACGGTTAGTGAATTGTTTATCGAATACGACCGATTACGATGAATCACTTGGATATGGTCAATGATGCATCATAGGATCGTGTTAGTGTACCACTGATTCTTAGACCTAAGACATCACGGTTGGATTCAACATAGAATGCATATGGTTCATATGGTGTATAAGCACGAGACTACTCATGTCTTGTGTAATCAGCTGGTTTGGTCATATGTTATTCATGTGCGAGGACAAGTGATAGTCAAGATGGGATCCATTAACTCAAAATAGTCCAATCTTGAGTTCCCAGACGAATGTCAATAAACATTGGAAAAGGGAAGTCTCTGGCCAGAGTATAATGAATATCAGATGAAAAGTAGTTTCATGTTGACGAGTTCCATTGTATAGATTAACAATTTGATTGAAGATTAAGTCAAAGGTTTTGACATACTATGAACCATTCTTAATCGGGATTAGATAACGGAGAGATTTGACTACATGGTATGTATAATAAGAATAGGTTCATTGGAGTTTACACTTCATTGTGGTTTAGGGGTTATGGAACATTGCTAGACGTCTACCATAATTAGTAGGAGTTTCGATTATAAAGAATTATTATGAAACATATCAAAATTAGATATTGGGCCCACGGCTAGATCATAGTGAACCAAAATGGTCACACATAAAACCAAGCTCAAGGAAATAGAGTAATACATATCATTAATCAGATTAATGATGTTTGGACATAAACGGTTGCATCCAAATTAATGTATTAGTGAGAAATGATTATCCATGAATAGCTAGCACTAACCAAGGGTAATAAGGATTTATTAAATATTATTACTGGATTGGATTCAATGATAGGGGCAAAAGTGCATTGGTTTTATTCTAAAGGGTTAGAATATTTAGTGGAATTAAAATTTTGTCTAATTATGAATTAACCATAAAACAAAGGACTTGACATAAATTTTATTCCCAAGTTAATTTTAAATTGTTTGAGGCCTTCCCAAAACAATTTAAAATTACACTTTGTGCCTATGGTATATAAATTAAGTTTTATACCATTTTAATTGAATTGAATTAATTAAAGCAAAATCACTCTCTCACTCTCTCGGCTCTCTCTTCCTTGACTTGTGTGGATCACATTTTGAGGTTCTTCAAGTTCACTTGAAGAACTAAGATTCCAAGAAAGAAGATTCAAGTGTTGAATAGCAAAGGACTAGGTAATATTCCATCCTTACCTTGAAATTTTTTGGGGCTTATGTGTTATGTTTGTGTTCTACCTTGCATCCATCATCTTGTTCATCCATGTTACACCAATTCCATGTCCAAAATGCATGAATCCCAACAATGGTATCAGAGCATGTTTAAATTCATGCATGCATCTAGCATTTTTGGTGAAAAATGGCTTGGTTTGGACATGAATATGTTTTTGCTTTAGATGCATGTTGAATTTATTGTGTATTTTGAATACAAATGATGATGGATATGTGATATTCATGCTTATTAACATGCTTGTTAACATGCTGTATGAAATTTTGATATTTAGAATACAAAATTTCTTGTTCTTGAAGTCATATGTAACATGCATGTTTGATTTGTTGCATCTTTATGCATTTTTGTTAAATATGAATATGTCTCATTTTTGTAATATAAGCATATTTGATGCAAATTTGATGATTTTGAGAAGGGATGAATTCGGTCAAAACTGATTCAAATGAATAATATATATTAAATGCATATTTGAAAGTGTTATATGTGATACCATAGTCTACAAATGCATTTGACTTGGATTGTATTGTGAATGCAAGTTGGTTGATTCATCTTTGAGTAAAAATCGGTGCATGATGCATAGATTTGCATTTTTTAATTTTATTTGATTGAATGTGATTTGAGAGATTTTTAATGTGATGGGTAATATAATATTTTTTATAAATATTATGATGATAAAATTATGCATATACCCTTGGTTTAATCATGATATATTTTATACATTTATTGCATGCAATAATTATATATATATTTCTTTATATTCATGTGATGGATAATATAATGATATTATAAGTTTAAGGGTAGTAATATTATGCATGTACCCTTTGTTCAATCATGGCATGTTTTTATGTATTTATTACATGAAGTCCTTTATTTATAAATATTGCAACTTGCATAAATATTTATTTATATGCCCTTGATTGAATTAATATTTATTAATGTGATGGATGAATATTAATTAGGGGATGATCATGGGTGTAAATTTATATTTCCCAAAAATATTTGATATTTGGGCATGTAATGTTCTTTCAATGGCTTGTGATAATAATTAAATTTATTATTAGTTTGTTATCCAAGCCTACGTGTCCTAAATTGGTTTATGTAATCGTAAAACCAGACAGAAGATGGAGATCCGATCAATCACCGGATGAAGATCCGCAAGGAGTAATAGAATTAGGTGAATAGTTTACCTAATTAGGATGTATTTTCCAAAACCCCATGATCATCCCACCATGTTTTATATTTATATGGATGCATTTGAATTAATGTATGTGATAAATGTAAAACATTTTTTTTATAAAAGGTTAAACTTAATAATCTCCCTAACAAACAATATTAGATCCAAGCCTTCCATTATGGGCCAATTAATTCTTTGGCATAAAATTAGAGATCCCAAGATTTCTATTACGTGAGGGATGCTAATTTTATGACATGGAATTAATTGTCTTAGTTCTTGAATAGAAATTTTCACAATACCCAAGATTTCTATTATGTGAGGGTATAATGGGAATTCTATTTTAAGAAAGCATAATAGGTTTGATTTAACTAGTCTAGGTTACCAAGATTTCTATTATGTAATGTATCCAAAACTAGAGGCAAGGATTGAATCATACCTTATATAGTGATATAAAATGAAATAGTTTCCTACTTGTTAAATTTAATTGACCAAGATTTCTATTATGTGATGTTTAATTAAATTTAATAAGAATTTGATTCCCTACTAGAAATTTATTCCAACAAAATTTCCAAATCATCATTTAGGGGAGTATGGGATTTGAATAAAATAGTGGGAGCTAATAAGATTAGCAATAAAGGGTTTGAATTTACAAGACAATAATAAAACTTATATTTTTCCTTGCAGTCTCTTTCGGTATTTGTGATATTTAGTTAACGAAAATGAGCAATAACTTGCTTTTGAGGATTCTCGATAACAACATGCTGATCAGACCTAATTTTAATAATTGGTTAAGGAATTTGAGAATTATTCTCAATTCCGAAAAAGTCGGGTATGTCTTGGAAGCACCCCTTCCACTTTCTTTGTCTCTTGATGCCACACCGCAAGAAAATGAAGTTTTCGATAAGTGGTAGGAGGATGACTCATGAGCTCGAACCTACATGCTAGCATCAATGAATGCTGAGCTCCAGGTTGAGCATGAAAAGATGGAAAGTGTGAATGAGATAATAATCCATTTACAAGAGTTGTATGGTGAGAACTTAGTGGTGAAGCAATACGAATTGTGTTCGACACAATTCATAATGAGGCTTAGGGAGGGAGTTGCCCCAGATGATCATGTTATGAAAATGAGTAATATTATAGGGCAATTGCATACACTTGAGATTGTGATGCCACACTATCTTAAGGTGAATTTGATTCTGCAATCCCTTCTACCAAGTTTCAAGCCCTTCATCACAAATTATAATCTCAATAGGATTGAGCGCACTCTTGCAGAACTGTCGAATGAAATTCAACAGTTCTATAAGCAGGGAAGAAAGGAAAAGGGGCAAGAGGATGTTTTTGCAGCTTCTTGTAGTAAGACTAAGAAGAAGCAATGGAAGCAAAAGAAAGGTCTAAAAGTTGGACCATAGAAAAGGCCTTTTAAGAAGATGCTTCTAAGACTGAGAAGGGCAAAGAAAAGGTCAATGATAAAGGCCAGTGTTTCCACTGCAAGAAAGATGGACGTTGGAAGAGGAATTGTCCTCTTTATCTGAAGAGCTTAAAGAAAGCTCTAGCAGGTATGTTCCATTCTTATGTTATAGAATTTGAATTAAATGTTAGTTCAAATGATCATTCCTAGATATTAGATTCAGCTGCTACATCTCAAATTTGTGTTTCATTGCAGGCACTGCAGAATAGTTATGCACTGTTAAAAGGTGAAGTAATTTTGAAGATGGCAAATAGAGCAAAAGTTGTAGCTGAGGCAGTGGGGACTTGCCATTTGACATTGCCATCAAAACACATTTTGTATTGTACAGAACTTTGTATTTTGCCAAAGCAACTAGAAATCTCATTTCTATTTCTGTTTTATGTAAATTTGGTTACAAAATACAGTTTAATGGAAATGAATGTCTAATTTATTTTGGAAATGAATTAGTTGGCAAAGCAATTAATACAAATGGTTTGTATGTTTTGGCAATGAATGATTATGACATAATGAATACCATTACAAATAAGAGATCTCGAAATGAAATCAATCCAAAATTACTTTGGCATTATCGATTAGGTCATACAGGAGATAAAAGGATAATCAGGTTAGAAACAAATGGGCTTTTAAGCCCATTGGGTTCAAAACCCTATCCAACTTGTGAATCTTGTCTTCAAGGAAAAATAACCAAATCATCCTTTAAGGGTAAAGGGGAAAGATCCAAAGAATTATTGGAGGTTGTAAATTCAGATGTATACGGACCATTTAATGAAATGTCTCAAGGAGGTTTTCAATACTTCATTACCTTTATCGATGATTATTCTAGGTACGGGTATTTGTATTTAATGAAATACAAATCTGAATCCTTTGAAAAGTTCAAAGAGTTTAAGAATGAAGTAGAGAAACAGACTGGAAAGAGTATTAAGTCTCTGCAATCAGATCATGGTGGTGAATACTTAAATATAGAATTTTGAGATTTTCTAAAGGAGAATGGTATAATATCCCAGTTGAATCCTCCGTATATGCCGCAACCTAATGGTATGTCTGAAAGGAGGAACCGTACTTTATTGGATATGGTACGGTCGATGGTAAGTTTTACAGACTTGCCAACATCACTATAAGGATTTGCCCTTGAATCCGCTGTGCATATTCTGAATAGGGTACCATCTAAATCTATTGAGATGACACCATATGAGACGTGGTATGGTAAACCTTCTAGTCTAAAATATATGAGAATTTGGGGTTATCCAGCTTATGTCAAGATTGTCAAGACAGACAAGTTGGACGTTAAATCTGAGAAAGGTCCGTTTATAGGGTATCCCAAAAATAGTTTGGGATATTACTTTTACTTCCACACTGATCAACGAATTTCGATCAGTAGGAATGCACACTTTCTTGAGAAAGAGTTCTTAGGAGAGAGTGGTGCAGGAAGAAAAATTGTGCTCCAAGAAGAGTCTGGGGAGCCTTAAACCGAAAATACTCAAATGGTTGTCCCTCTCAAGAAACATTAATACCTGAAACGGTTTCAATTCATAAATCATCTAGAGTATCTCGACCTCCAGAAAGATATGGTTACTTCATGAAGAGATTTTTGAATCTATCATGATTGGAGAAGTCAGCCATGGGGATGATCCTAGACGTTATGAAGAAGCAATATTATATATCGATTCTGGAAAATGGCTAGAAGCTATGAATTCTGAGATAGAATCCATGCATGCTAATCAAGTATGGACTCTCGTTGATCCTCCAGAAGGAATAGTTCCTATTGGATGTAAATGGATCTTCAAGAGAAAGATTGGCAAAGATGGAAATGTAGAGACCTACAAAGCAAGATTGGTTGCAAAAGGTTAAACTAAAAAATAAGGGTTGGATTATGAGGAAACTTTCTCACCAGTTGCTATGCTTAAATCCATTAGAATTATGCTAGCCATAGCTGCACTCTATGATTATGAGATATGACAAATGGATGTCAAAATAGCATTCCTTAATGGATTTATTGAGGAAAATATCTACATGCAACAACCTATAGGTTTTGTATCTAGTTCTAAAAGAAATAAAGTGTCCAAGTTGCATAAATCCATTTACGGGTTAAAACAAGCTTCAAGAAGCCAGAACATTCGGTTTGATGAAATAATCAAAACTTTTCGTTTTATAAAGAATCTGGATGAACCCTGTGTTTATAAATGGATTCAATCATATTTCTCATACTATATGTAGATGACATACTATTGATGGCAAATGACATTGGGATGATGACTGAAGTTAAGTTGTGGTTATCCGAAACTTTCTCCATGAAAGACTTAGGAGAAGCGACCTACATCCTAGGAATTCGTATCTATAGAGACAAAATGAAAGGATTAATAGGCTTATCCCAGAAGATGTACATAGAAAGATGCTGAAATGATTCGGCATGCAAGACTCCAAAAGGGGAATTTTGCCTTGCAGTCACGGAATTCATCTTTCAAAAGATATAAGTCCAAAGACTGATCAGGAGCGTGAACAGATGCGTGGAATACCCTATGTTTCAGCTGTAGGTAGTCTCATGTACGTTATGCTATGTACTAAGCCTGATATTGCATATGTTATGAGTGTTACAAACAGATATCAGTCTGACCCAGGGGAAAAACACTGGTCAGTTGTTAAGAAGATCCTTAAGTACTTAAGAAGAACTAAGGATCTAATACTAAGTTATGAAGGTTCAGAGTTGAAAATTGAAGGATGCTCTGATTTTGATTTTCAATCAGATGTGGATGATAGAAAGTCTACATCCGGGTTTATTTTCATATGCAATGGAGGAGCAGTCAGTTGGAAGAGTTCTAAACAATCAACTACTGCCGATTCCACAACTGAAGCTGAATACATTGCCACTTCAAAAGCAACAAAAGAAGTTGTCTGGATGCGTAAGTTCATGACTAAACTTGGTGTGGTTCCAAACATGGTTTATCCGATAACCTTGTACTATGACAATACTGGTGCTATTGCACAGTCAAAGGAGCCAAGAGCACACCAGAAGTCAAAACATATTTGGCGTAAATATCACATTTTGAGAGAATTCGTTGGAGATGGAGAAATTTTGGTGTAGAAAATACCTTCAACAGAGAATGTAGCTTACCCACTCACTAAAGTGATGACACAAAAGCAGTTGGACTATCATCTTGAGAAGATGGGTATTAGATACCATAACGATTGGCTCTAGTGCAAGTGGGAGTTTTGTTAGTGTATGCCCTAGGAACCAATCGTGTTGTCGGTTTTAGGACATTATATTTTGTAAATGTATTATGAATAAAAGAAAGTATTCTTATTTCATATGTTGATTTTCTGCTTCATTTATATTATATTATATTTAATATTGCATATGAAATGTCTGGATGGCACGGATCTTCAGAAGATCACATCATCAAAGAATTCTCTATGCACGTAATGTTAATTGGGCAATAACATTGCATAGTAGGCATGCTGAATGTCTCCATTGAATATCATGTGATGGTATTAGTATGGGTGATTATAAGAGATATGTTACTAAGGCATTAGCATGGATAAACGGTTAGTAAATTGTTTATTGAATACGACCAATTACGATGAATCACTTGGATATGGTCAATGATGCATCGTAGGATCGTGCTAGTGTACCATTGATTCTTAGACCTAAGACATCACGGTTGGATTCAACATAGAATGCATATGGTTCATATGGTGTATAAGCACGAGACTAGTCATGTCTTGTGTAGTAAGCCGGTTTGGTCATATGTTATTCATATGCGAGGACAAGTGATAGTCAAGATGGGATCTGTTATCTCAAAATAGTCCAATCTCGAGTTCCCAGACAAATGTCAATAAACATTGGAAAAGGGAAATCTCTGGCCAGAGTATAATGAATGTTAGATGAAAAGTAGTTTCATGTTGATGAGTTCCATTGTATCGATTAACAATTCGATTAAAGATTAAGTTAAAGGTTTTGACATACCATGAACCATTCTTAATCGGGATTAGATAACGGAGAGATTTGACTATACGGTGCATACGATCACAATAGGTTCATTGGAGTTTACACTTCATTGTGGTTTAGGGGTTATGGAACATTGCTAGACATCTACCATAATCAGTGGGAGTTTCGATTATAAAGAATTATAACGAAACATATCAAAATCAGATATTGGGTCCACGGCTAGATCACAATGATCCAAAATGGTCACACATAAAACCAAGCTCAAGGAGAGAGAGTAATACATATCATTAATCAGATTAATGATGTTCAGACGTAAACGGTTGCATCCAAATTAATGTATTAGTGAGAAATGATTATCCATGAATAGCTAGCACTAACCAAGTGTAATAAGGATTTATTAAATATTATTATTGGATTGGATTCAATGATGGGGGCAAATGTGCATTGGTTTTATTCTAAAGGGTTAGAATATTTAATGGAATTAAAATTTGGTCTAATTATGAATTAACCATAAAACCAAGGACTTGACATAAATGTTTATTCTCAAGTTAATTTTAAATTGTTTGAGGCCTTCCCAAAACAATTTAAAATTACACTTTGTGCCCATGGTATATAAATTAAGTTTTATACTATTTTAATTGAATTGAATCAATTAAAGTAAAATCACTCTCTCATTTTCTCTCTCACTCTCTCGGCTCTCTCTTCCTTGACTTGTGTGGATCACGTTTTGAGGTTCTTTAAGTTCACTTGAAGAACTAAGATTCCAAGAAAGAAGATTCAAGTGTTGAATAGCAAAAGAGTTGGTAATATTCCATCCTTACCTTGAAATTTTTTGGGGCTTATGTGTTATGTTTATGTTCTACCTTGCATCCATTATCTTTTCATCCATGTTACACCATTTCCATGTCCAAAATGTATGAATCCCAACATGTCTCATATGTTTCTTTAGCTCCTCTAAAGATCTCTCGCACTCCTCTGTCCACTTGAAACATTTCTTC